TTAGATAACTAGGATATGCATAAAAAAGTCCAAAACAAGTTAGATTTATGCAGGGACGTATATACTAACGGGATTGGAAACTCTAGCAATATGGCTCATTTAGGTTTATTCATCATTTTATCTTATCATGTCAGTTCATTATGACCCATCATTTTATTCAGTCAATTACCCTTCATTAAATGCTGCTGTTGGGTTACTAAGTTTGTTGGATAAGGGGGCCTTGATGGGTAAAATGTACCTCAATTTAGCGTTTAGGTTGCTTCCTGTTCAGATTTTAAACATTTAGGTTTTAGAATAAATGATATGTTTTTTCTTTGACAAATGCCTGCCTTTTGAGCTTTCAGCGTCTTGTAGTCTTTTTGAGGAATTTTTTATCTTGTTTGGAGTGGATATTGAAGCAACAGTCTGGACAGGAATAAGTGGTGCATTACTTAATTAGATGACTTTTTGTTTGCTGGTAGAGCAGGTAGCAATACATGTGATGAACTTATGTCACTGTTTGTGGGGCATTGTAAGCAGTTAGGTGTCAACTTAACTGTTCAGTGTGGCCTTCAACTTTCCTAACCTTTTTGGGTTTTGAGTAAGATTCGGTTGAAATGATAATAAGAATCCCAGTTGATAAGTAGTTTAAAGGATTTGATCAACAGTTTTATGGAGAAATGGAAGGCGGTTCTGAGGGAATTCCAGGCTCTTGCAGGTATGGTGAATTTCTGTTTGCTTGCCATTCCATCGGATCGGGCATTCACAAGGCGTATTTATGATCTAATGCAAGCTGATGCCAAACTACATCACTTTATCGGGGTTTCAGTTACAGTCAAGGAGGACTTGAATGAATGGTTTAACTTCGTAGATATGTTCAATAGCTGCTGTTATTCGCATTGACTGGGAAGATGATGAGCAACTCCAACTATTTACTGACAACTGCAGGGAATTCAGATTTTGGCTGTGGTGCTTTTTTGGGATCTATTGGTTGATTTTCATTTCTTGAATTTGTTCCAATTGTCTTAGCAATTCATGCTTGAAGATGTCAATTATTCAGCAAAAAAAAAAAAAAAAAAAAAAAAAAAATATTTTCCAAGTCGACAATGAGGCTTGGTAACAATTTGAAACCAAAAAATTTCAAAAGACTGAACGTGTTATGTGTTTGGTACGTTCTTTGGTACTTCACACAACGTTAAGCAATATCCAGTTCAGGGCTAGTCATATTTCAGGTGTTAATAATGAAATTGCTGATGCATAAGTCGTTGTCACTTTCAGGGTTTTCGGTCATTTGCACCTCAGGCGGACTTGGAGCCAACATCAATACCAGATTCATTTGTAACCATCATCTCCAGGTTGAATTGAAGTCAGGCGGAATTGAAGTGTTCAATTGTATTTAATACAAGACTTGCTTATCATTGTAGTTATATATTTGTGGAGGGAAACTTTTCATAATTTAAACTAGAACTAGGGTATATATATATACGAGGGGTTATCAAAAAGTTCGTGGACTAGCGCTATAAAATTGATATTATGAAGTCTGTGCTTACAAAATTTGTAAGGAGCATAAAACAACAAAAGTTTAAGAAATGTTGACATTTTTGGCTTGATACGTTGATAATTTACCAAATTATTATAAAATAAAAAGACATTATATAATCACCCGGCGCTGTCGCCGTTTAGTTTCATGACGTGCGACAACGTCATTCTTTCTCAATGTCCGCCTCGTACACTTATCTTGATGAAAATACCTGGAGTTAGGTAAGGACTTAAGCCCGTCTTGTTTATATGACTTTACAATGTCATGAACAGCTGCTTTCAATGCATATAATATTGTAAATGGATCTGTACATAGGGAAAGATCCTCTCTTGATTATGCCAGAATACTTAGCTTGTTGGAGTTCAGTTTCTACAAAACACGATCAACGTCACTTTTGGACCTGACTGACTTTTGAGACCCTGACTACAAATCGACATTAACTGTGCATCTTTCATCCCTCTGAATCTTTCTGGGCATTTAAAATCAAACACTCTGGACGCATTTTACTTTTCTGTAGCCCGTTTAAACATTCCTTAGGATCTATACCAGTTTTTCCAGATGCGAAACTTTAAAGAATGTTGGAAAAAGAAATTCCTCCCCCTTTTTGACGTCCTTTTCAAGCCTTTAATTGTTTGGAAGTCCATATAATATTTACGATAAAATTTCAAAGAACTTACAGAATGGGATAAAATTGCAAATTTTACGGAACAATTATGTCGTACCACATGCCTGAATTAACGAGATTTTTTAATGACAAATGCTCATACCAAAAGAGTTTTTCTCAGTTTCACTCATGAAGAAAAAACGTCATATTTGAGGTTGCGCCGGCTTGACATACCATTGCTTACAAAATCATAAACAATTTATTAAAACTTATGATATACGGTTTATTCTATAGATAGAAAAAAATTATGCTAACTAAATGTGTTAAAATTCATTGATGTACCTAAAGCGATTTTAATTTTATAGCGCGAGTCTACGAACTTTTTGATAACCCCTCGTATACATAAATATATGGAAACCAAGGTATGAGAAATTGTTTTATAAACATCATTTAAGTTATTTAATTCATGCATTCCTTCTAAAATTTGAAAAAAAGATTGTGCTTTCCGGGATTGAAATACCTTCAAATATTCAACCAAGAAATATTGGAGATATAAATTGATTTACATATGTTCTAGCTATCTGCTTCTTCATTACAAAATATGAAAGAATAAGACATGTGTAGCGCATGTCTTCGACATATTGTTTCTCACATGCATTTTGTTTCTGTAGCACTCTAACAAAAAGTCAACCAAGTCATCTCGTTTATAAAATAATGGCACACTTTTTGAGTGCATACATATGTATCTCATCCAACTATAGTATATTTTTTGCATTAAAAATCAAGGCTTATAAACTAATAAAATGACAGCAGCATTCCTTGTTTTTAAGGTGACAAATCAAACCGTGGGTCCAGACATATCTAAAAAGGGTATACTAACGCAGAAAAAAAATACTCAGTCACAAAAGCCCTAAAACTCACTTTGTCGTAATAACAAAGCAAAATGCTTAGTAGTAATGAAAAGGATGAAGATATCGAACACTGATCAATCTAAAAGAAAATCTACAAACAATACAAATCTATGAACGGATGTAAAACATGGACCCCCGGAAATTCCATACGTGGGATCAGGTGCCTCTGAGTAAGCATCCCATGTCGACCGGTCACACCCGCCGTGAGCCCTATGTAAAAGTGGGAAGCTGTTGGGGTATTCAAGACTGTTATCAAGTACAGTAAAACACGGTTGCAGTAAACATCGATATAATAAATTCACCTTTACAGCGAAGTCATTGTTATCACATACTTTTTATTTGTGCTACAATAGCTCATATGTGTCTGAATGTTAAATATGATGATGATCATCGTATGTTGGTTTTCCTTGCTGAAATGTGAAGAGGTATCTGTGTTTTAATTGGTACCGAATTTGAATTCTTTAGATCTCTTAAAATATTTTTCAAATTGAAAATGCAGGATCTAGTTTGGAGGGAGTAAATTGACGGACATTTATATTTCGACTATTAAATGCGAAAAAAAACTGTTTTCTTTGGCCATAAGACCTTAGTTGACTTCTTTGACCTGAAGAAACGTTGCTATGGTTAAACATACAACACGTACTCTCTTTCATCATCAGACATCAACTTAAACATTGTAGTTGTTTACTTATACAAACAAAATATGATGAGAAATGAAAAGGAAAGATCTGACACACACAAATATACATGCATATCTCTCTTCGTCTCTCTCTCTCTAGTTGCCTGCGTGGCTCAGTGGTTAGAGTACTGTTCTAGAATCGCTGAGTAAGGGAGCTGATTATTACTTCGTGGGTTCGAATCCACTGCGGGTCGTGGAGACCGGTCCTTCGGGTGAGACCGTATTAACCGAGGTCCCGCAGTAGGCGTTGGCACGGAAAAGATCCCTCAGTACTCAATGGCCCTGAGTGCCGAGCATAGTTATAAATTTGCAGCCCTCCACCGTCAAGTGGTGGCGTCTACATATGAGTGAAAAATTCTCAAGAGGGACTTCAAACAACAAACTCTCTCTCTCTCTCTCTCTCTCTCACACACACACACACAAACACAAACACAGATTTAAAAATAAAATAAAATAATTTAATTTTAGTTGTAACAAGTCATTTGATTGGATAAAAGATTTAGTTTATATCTTATAACATAAGTTGCCCACGTCACAATGAGTTGCGTCAAAAACGCTTTTTTATAAACCGCTTCGCGGTTTATAAAGAGTAAACTGCCCCAAGTTATGTTATAACGGATAACATAGGTTAAAATAAGCTTCATTCCTTCATAAATAAATGGGTTATATTGCCAATCGATACGTCTGTTTTCTGAAAGCATCTAAAAGGGGAAAATCCTAAATGTTTAAATAGCCTGTATATAATACGACACAATTCCAAAAGACTACAGATAACGAATTACCTGCGTAGAATACCAGTTTGTGATATCTTGGTCCAAGAACTTTTATCTGAGTTTCCGCTTCTAGAAAATAAATATTATGACGGCCAAAACATTGAAGAAACTTGCGTAAGTAAATGTAACATTTTTTCAATTTGTTAACTGAGAAATTAAATTATAAATTGTATAATTAGTCAATGGCATTGGAATTGTTTTTTGAAATGTGTTTGTTTCTTTGTATGAATAGTAAAGTAGGTAAATATCACAATCAATTAGTGTCTTCTATCAAATGTTAATTAGATCTATAATAATATCAACAGACTCGGCAATAATGGAGATACTGGGGGAATAAATAAACCTGATGACAGACCTTTCCAAGGCCAAGATATCGTGCGCTGTGATAAATGTGTTAAAAATGTGCGTTTTACATGTATACCCTGCGAAACGAAACTTTGCAAAGCATGCGTTGGTGATCACTTGGAAACTAAGGGCTCTCCTCGTTTTCATCAATTTGCTTTTTACGGTGTAGATGATAGAGAGATATCGTCTGAGCCTAACGTAGAGGAAATCGTAGACAATGATGAGAATATAAAAGATACATGGAGCATTGCACTATTACCAGACTTGCCAGAATCACAGCGAATTATTGTTTGCAATGACCAGTCCGTCGTGCTCTATCAAAAGCAGAGAGATCGCGACTGGTCTAATAAGGAGTTAAAGAGAATTAACGGAAATTCTTTTATCAGATGTATTGCTACTTTTAATTCTCGCATTCTTTACTCGGCAACGAATTGCAAAAAGGTATATGAAACAGATGAACAATTTTCAACTGAGGCTACCAGACCATTTTTTACATCTAAAGCTGATGGGTGGACCCCTAGAGGTATAGCATTTTCCCTCCTTAATCCAGGCAATGTTTGGATAGGTTTGTATCACGCACAGACGAAAAAAGGGAAGGTTATCAAAGTTCAATCAGAGGGCAAGATTGTAGGATATCTGGGTGATGAGGGAGACAGAAAACCATATACAAATCCCCGATTCCTGGCTGAAAACAGAAACGGAGATATCTGCATAGCCGATGGAGTATCAAAGAAAGTATTTGCATTATCCCCAAACGGAAATGTTTGTTTTTCATATAAACCTTCCGGAATTATATCTGGATACGGAGCTCGAACTGTTGCAACAGATAAAAAGTGTAACATTCTTGTTGCATATCCAAATGATGGCATACATGTGTTAAATAGCATTGGAAAGTGTCTTCTTATTTTGAAAGAGATGGCATATCCCACAGCTTGTTGTGTCTCTTTGAAAGATTCACTGTTTGTGTGTTCCAAAGATGGAGACATTAAAGAGATAACATACCTGATGCCACCGTCTCCAACCAACCAGTAACTACGACAACCGACATAATATGTTATCATGTCCAAAGATTGACTGACACTTAATCAAGAATGTTAAGATGGATGATGCATGATTCCTTATCTGACAGGAGTAATTTTTCTTAAAAATATTCGTAGCTGAAGACAAGTATTTTCAGAAACAAAAGGAAAGGTTTGTGAATGTTATATATTTTATTGCAAAATGAAATGAGTTTGATTACATAGAGGCTACTATTCTTAACAGCAAAAATGTGGGAAATGTGATTGATTTTCAGCACAAAATGGATATTATTCAGTGTGACATCAAATGTAAAAATTATTCAAAACCTTAGGAAAAAAGGTCTTTTACATTAATATTGGAATCTATTAATAATCAGGTTTTTCTTAAAGAAACCATATTTATGACAGATAATATGAATGAAATAAAGTAGTACCAATTTTATATTCAATTGAAATTCTATAGATTTATTTTGTGTAGCTTAATGTTGATTCGATATCTCAACGAAGTAATTTATTTATCATAAGCAGCTCAAGTCAAAATTTTTCAAGACCAAAAATAGATTTCTTATGTAATATTTATTTTAGTATCCCCTAATAAAAATTTACCATAGTTAACTATAGTTTACTATAGTTAACTATAGTAAATACTTTGATACTTTGATTTACTATGAAACTTTACTTAAGAACTTTTTTGAAGATTTAGAGTCTTAATATTTCTTAAATTACATATCAATGATGTAATATTTGAAATAATATGTAAATATACAAGAAATATTTCTTTTTAATAGCAGAAAATTACTTGTAGGAATCTTAAAAGTTAAAATATAGCGATCGATCTGAAATCCATAGTAAAAATACTTTGATTTACTATAGTGAAAACTTTGATTTACTTTAGTTAACTATAGTAAACTATAGTTAACTATAGTTAACTATGGTACTTTTTTGTTAGGGTCCCTATTGTTAAATGATTTCTCTGTGACAACTATATTTACCTCAAATAATGAGGGAAAATCCAATATCGACTTTTCTTTAATTTTAGCATATTTGTAAAAATCTTTTTAAATTCATTGTTAGCTAGATCTTTTGAACATTGAATATTTGCAGTTTGTATTGTTATTATAAATTCAATAAAAGTTGTGATGTCATGCGTGTTTCGCGACTTAACACATTGATAGTAAGTGTGCTTTTTATGACAGACTAACAGAGATATTATTACGGATTGCTCTCTCTCTCTCTCTCTCTGTGTGTGTGTGTGTGTGTGAATGTGTTAGTATTATAAAAGTATTATTTTTGTACATAAAACCCCCATAAATATGCTCTTTAGATTTGTGACAATTCATTAGCATTCTTTTTCACTTTCGATACTTACTTTGAATAGATTACTTTGTATGTCTTTTTTCTGGGCTTCTGTAGAAAACGCATTATCTATCATTTTTATTAACTCCTAAATAGTTTGTATACACTTGTATTTTCCCATTTGTTAATTCATGGAGACGGACATTTTCCAGTTATTATTATAATTGTCTGATGAAAGGTTGAGAAAATGCAACTTTAGTGTACATTTCAAAAATATAAATATATTATATTTTTTTGAAAATTTCTGAACGGAAATTAATGTATTGATCGAAATTAATTGTAGCCTTCACTTCCTTTATTTCCTCAATATATGACCAAATTCTGATTAATTATGTATTCTGTATTCTATAGAACTGTAAGATGACACAGAGGCAGCTTTGACAATGTAATTCTATACAAAACAAAATGTTATGCTAAAATATTGTAACTTGAAACTCAGCACTACACTATAATTTTTATTTTGAAGAAAATAAATGAAAATTTTTAGGTTGTTTATTATTGCTTTATTTTCCAATATCCTTAATTTTTTCACAAACAGGTATTCAAATACATTACATTTTCCTTTAATATAATTTTGCAAAATGAATCAAAAAGGTGAAAATAACAAACATTGATCAAAATAAAAATTAAAAAAAACAAACAAACAAACAAATAAATCTGTCACAGGGCCCCGGAAATTCAAGAGGTGTCTAGGAGGAGTATGTATCCCCTGTCAACCGTCAAAGCCGCTGTGAGCCCTATGTATTTATCAGGTAGACGGATAATCCTTAGTAAAATTTAGTACGTACATGGCCTAACAATTGGTATGAAATATGGCTGTCAAAATACGACGAAATGATAAGTTATATTTGCTTACAAGGACCATAACAGGGTACTTCTATTAGAAGGGCCATAAGATTTAATTTAACGAGGTTGTTGAAGCAAGTCTCGGTATTCCCCATATGATACTTGAACTTGGTTGATGTATTAACATTTTGACTAGTTTATCTAGCCATTTGTATGTGTAGCATATTATCAAACAAGTACTTTAAATCACTGCCATTTTTAATTTTTGTTTGTACAATGCATCATGCAAAGGTTTCAATATCTTATTATAGATAAGAAAAAATATCTAGAAAATATAACATTACGAGTATCATTAATATTCAAAATACTATATTTGGTTATCCATTTATTAAATAGTAGATAAAATCCCGCGCAAGCGCGGGGAATTCAATTTATACCACTACCGACAGAAAAATTCCAATAATATATATTGTAGTTTCTACCGACAGCCTACAGGTTTATAGTAGGAAGAAATACTTTGTTCAAAATCCCACATTTAGCTATGGAGCTGAAGTAGATGTACCTAACCACCCCCACCCTCCTTTTGTAAAAACTTGAAAATAACAATTTCATTGATTGACGTTTATGTGAAACCTGTTAATATACATGTACTATGTTATGGATATTGTACTTCAGGTGCTTTTATTTCATTTCCGTCAAGGAAAAAAGCAGCAAATATGAACATTTTAATGATAAATTGATTTTTTTGTTGTAAACATTAGCTTTTAACGCCCTATGAATATGCCCAGTATTTGATATACAAAAGACTGTAATCGAAAAAAAAAAAACCCTTGAAATGTATTGATTAAAGCACAAAATATTAACAGCTTTAATTGTATTTGAACAATACCTTATTCAATAATGTTTTCTTTTCATGTAAGCAAATTTATTACGAACTACAAATTGAGGAATCTATAAATATATATATATATTATATATATAAATATATTCACAACTTATAGTGTTATCAATGATTTACCATTATTTCGATGACCTTTCACACAAAAGTTTTTTTTTTCGTTCATGCAGTTTTTCTTTTTAACATCGGACTAAATGATGTTCTAGAAGTTTCCGTCAATACTAAGATCGGTGAATGTCGGAAATAATTTGCACTTTTCCTTTTTTAATCGGTTATCACAACTTATTTCTTTTATATCATTTTTAAATCAAGTTTTGATTGAATAATTCAGTGATGATCTTTTATGAAATACAGTTAAACTTCGTTATCTCGAAGTTGACGGGACCGTTGATGAACTTCGAGATATCCGGGGGTACGACATATCGAGTGTTATTATTCTAATGAACTTCAAATAAAGTTAGTGCAATGAACATGGACTTAATAGTAGAAACATGTCAAATTCCTTCTTGTTTGAAATTCTGTATACGATTTCTTTAATATACATGTACATGTATTTAGCAATAAAAAGATTTTTACATACTCTTTCTAATTCACAAAATAAAAACTTTGTATTTTATGCACAGAAGTATAATCCTTCTACCAACCCGGCAAGTCAACCGCTAGCATCGTTTCCCATGTATACATAACCGGATATCGTCTATGCATTGTAAATTTAAAACCGGTCGCTGTCAGAATAACGCAAAAGAAATATATATCTTTTTTTATTGGAAATACATGTTCATACATTATAATCAGTTAAAAAAAATATTTTACAATGATAAAATCAAATGCAAAAGAAGAAACACGCACTTTTGTCTAACTACAGAACACTGAATCACATGGCACTATAGCACAAGTTTTCACTGCGACACACGCTCACCAGATGATGGTGTGTACTGACGATTGTAAATTCTGCGCGTTCATATAGGAAAAATAAATTTAATTGCATTAAATTACAGAATTTTGTTTCACTTGGTGTTTATAATTTTCATTTTTATATGCATAAAGTATGCAAGCACGTTTATTACACATAGCATTAAATAGCGCTTATCAAGATTTATAAGCGTACCCCAGCCACAAAACAATTAACGTGTAATCCACGCGAATGCATTAGACTAATAAACTAAACCTTTGGCTTGCATAATTAAAATCAAGCTAAGCCATACATACACCTCGTATAATTATTGCGCTATTATCTGTTGATCACAGGAACAAGGGTAACTCGTGCGTGACAGACAGGTGGCTCAATAAAGCGTTCAGTTTACCTAACGGACTTGATAATCAGAGCGGAAAATTATCGTGACTTCGAGATAACGCATGTGATTTTAATTAATGGGTACACAATTTTACTTTGAGATAACGGGGGTATTCGACATTACCGTGTTCGACATAAAGGGGTTTATTTTAATCATTTATAAAGCAAATTTCGTCGGGACCGCGGCCTTACGTCGACATATCCGTGGTTTTCGAGATATCTGTGTTCGAGATTTCGAAGTTTAGCTGTAAATAAACAATTGCTTGTTGTCAGTTTCATTAAAAATTGCCAGTAACTTAGATCCGCCAACCGAAATTGTCACCATACTCACGTTTTTTGCTATTTCATGGCTGTTTATAGAAAATGAAAGTAGACTTCAAATTTAATGTACGATACTTACTATGCGAGTAAAATCTGAATATAGTTTACGGACATCATCTTGTATCTAGTGTATTCATAGAGGAGTTAGTAAGAACTCGCTTGCACCCGTTTCGGAGTTTGTTTGCAAAATTTATTAATTTACAAGTATAGATTTGAAAAGAATGAAATTATGACTAATACAAGCTTTCATACATATAGTTCTTGCAGTGTCCTTATTTTCTAAGCAGGAGATAAACTCTAACAGGCACTGCGTTAAAGATAATGGCCACCGCTTTGACTGACATTTCGTCATTTGAGGACGTCACAGTATGTTCTATTTGCTTTGAGAAATATAAAACACCGCGATATCTACCGTGTTCTCATTCCTTTTGTCAGGACTGTTTATCGTCACACATTGTAAGTGTAAATCTACGGACACAAGATTGGGTTTTAATTGTCCATTGTGTCGAGAATTCATTCCTGTTGTCGGGCCCTTTGATAAACCAGCGGAATGGGCAGAATGTTTCCCTGTGAATGAAATACTGGAGAAAAGTCTTAAGGAGGCTCGGGGGTCAAGAAATTAACCATAAGATATAACTTACTTTTATGCCCCGGGATCGAAAGATCCCGGGGGTATATTGTTTTTGTTCTGTCTGTCTGTTTATCTGTTTGTCTGTTTATCTGTTTGTCTGTTTGTCTGTTTGTCTGTCTGTTGTCAACTTTAAGCTTGCCCATAACTTTTGATTGGTTGGAGCTATGACTTTCATATTTCACATGTGTATTCCTTGTGACAAGACCTTTCTTCGGGTACCATCATATTTGACCTTTTGACCTTGACCTTGGAGTTTGACCCACTATTGCAAAATTTTATGAGACTTTAACCTTAGCCATAACTTCTGAACAGTTGGTGCTTGGGCTTTCAAACTTCACATGTATATTTTTTGTGACAAGGCCTTCCTGTGGATACCAACAACTTTGACCTTTTGACCTTGACCTTGGAGTTTGACCTACTTTTGAAAAACTTTAACCTTGGCCATAACTTTTGAATGGTTGATGCTAGGGCTTTCATACTTCACATATGTAATCCTTGTGTCAAGACCTTCCTTTGAATACTAACCACTTTGACCCTTTGACCTTGACCTAGGAGTTTGACCTACTTTTTAAAAACTTTAACCTTGGCCATAACTTTTGAATGGTTGGTGCTAGGGCTTTCATACTTCACATATGTAATCCTTGTTACAAGACCTTCCTTTGGATACCAACCACTTTGAACCTTTGACCTTGACCTAGGAGTTTGACCTACTTTTTAAAAACTTTAACCATGGCCATAACTTTTGAATGGTTGGTGCGAGGGCTTTCATACTTCACATATGTAATCCTTGTTACAAGACCTTCCTTTGGATACCAACCACTTTGACCCTTTGACCTTGTCCTAGGAGTTTGACCTACTTTTTAAAAACTTTAACCTTGGCCATAACTTTTGAATGATTGGTGCTAGGGTTTTCATACTTCACATATGTAAACCTTGTGACAAGATCTTCCTTTGGATACCAACCACTTTGACCTTGACCTTGACGTTTGACTTTTATTTAAAAAAACTTTAACCTTCGCCATAACTTTTGAACAGTTGTATCTAGGTCTTTCAAATTTCACAGGTGTATTCCTCGAGACAAGACCTTTCCTTTGGGTATTAACATTTTTTATCTTTTGGCCTGGATTTTGACTTGCAATTGAAGAAACTTTAACCTTCGCCATAAGCTGCCATACGGGGGCATCAGTGTTTCACAAACACATCTTGTTTTAGATATGATATCTTAAGCTGTCAACTGTCATTTGGCAAACAAAAATTTCATACATTTTAGTTTTAAAATTTTATCATTTTGTATATCTTTATATGGAGCTCTTCTTCTAAAGGAGATCAATATAGTCTGAAAATGGCCACAACCACCCAGCCCTCTTAAAAGTCCAGACCAGAAACTTTGTGATCCTTGTTTGAGAGATAACGAGGAGGAAGACGCGTCTGACTTTTGTTCATCATGTTTGGAGATTTTGTGCAAGATTGGTTAAAAATGCCATAGAAAACTTCTGTTGTCAAGGGGCCACAACGTCTGCTCCTTGGATCAGATCATATCGCAACATATACAATCAATTTTAGGAAAAGATGACTTTTGCAAAAAGCATCAAGACCAAAAGTTGAATCTCTAATGTTACGAACATGAACAGCCATGTTGCATAATCTGTCGTAGAGCAAAGCATAGACAATGTGATTCTGTTGAAGCGGTTGAAAAGGCTGTAGAAACGTATAAATCAAGTGGCAAAATTGATAACATGGTAGAAGATATAAGAAGTTTTAGAAAGAAATTAAAAGACGCAAAAGACGAACAAGAGAGGAATATTACGGAACTAAAAGACAACTTAGACAAAATCACAGAAGAAACTGAAAAAGAAATAAACAATGTTATTCGTCTCATTGAAAGATTGAGAAGTGAATATTTGAATGAGTTTTCTGCTGTTGTCAAGAACGGCAAAGAAATGCTAACCAGAAATGTAGTCACTTTCAATGATGGGATCCAGTTTGCTGACTTTTGTTCTGACATGCTTGAACAAGCTAAAGAAAAAGATGATTCAACCTTTATGAAAAAATATTGTGCTACAAATAAGTCATTTCAGCAATTGAGAAGCACTAGATTTAGAACGAGGGGAGTGCGAATAATGGTCAAAAAAGAAACTATTTTGAAAGAAGTGTAAAACATTAAAACATTAGCAACCATTGAGGTCAGTGAAATTTTTCACGACATCAAAAGTGACATCTTTGATTTGGAGAATGTACAGTTACACTTAGTTACTAAATTTAACATCAACGGAGGATGTGTGCGCAATGGAACTTTTCTTTTAAACAAATCATTTATATTTTCTGATGGAAAAATGGGAAATGTTGTTATGGGGAAATCTCGAAGAAGGAATGGAAATTGATTGGAGACATAGGATATCTTTATGATCCTTTTGGCATATTGCAAAAAGGAAATGAATTGTTTGTGACATGCAAAATTACAAAATCTATTGAAGTGTTTTCTATATCTGATTTCAAGAGAGTGAGAAGCATCAACCTTGATTTTGAAAGCTTTGGGATATCAGGTTATACTTGGCATGTGGCAGCAAGATTGTTAAAATGGATACGTTTGGTAACGAAATAAAGAAATTTGATACAGCAGGCTCTTCTGCTTTTCATATTCTTGTTGCAAAATCTGGAATCATTGTGTATACTGACTGGAAGATTAACAAAGTAAGAGGCATAAGTGAACAATAGGATACTGCCTGGGATTATACTAGTCCCGAACTAAAATGTCCATATGGATTGGAGAGCGATTCACTGGGAAATATATATGTTGTTGGTATGCATAGTAATAATATCCATGTGTTATCAAATTCTGGTAAACTCATTAGGATTTTCCAAAATCTCAAAAGTCCAGTATTTTCGAAAATTGCCAAGGAAAGAAATGAATGTTGCATATGTAGCGATTACAAAACCCTTACTTTTTACGAAATAAAATGTTAAGCTATTTACTTGAGTTATGCTTTTTAAGTCATGTTGACATGTATTCATCAGCCACTTACTTAATGTTTTGAGTGTAAAGACTGATAAAAAGGGGAATCTTTTGTACCATATAAATCGTTCTGTATTTATGGGGTGTGAAAAAAAGTTGTAGATATTTTGATTTTTGCTAATTAATGAAAATATATTTATAATCATATTCTGGATTGAGATCAAAATAAGCAATATACTTAATATTTTTTCTATTGTTTATTGTAGGCTATTTGTAATTGTATTATTTTTGTAAAGCGGTATGCACCTGAAAGTATTGTAATACCAATTTTTCATATGCCTTCTGTATTACTGTAGATCAGTTAAACCTGATCTTTTTGCACCTAGAAAAAAAGTTTGAGATATTGATTTAAACTAGTGTTGTTTTAAAAATATCATTATCATGACAATGCTCTTATGTAAATAAACGCTCAAGGATAGTCTTAATAAGAACAATCCTACGTCTAGGAGTCTAAAATATGAACCCCGATCTTTTTGCACTTGAAGATAAGAAAAGAACTGCGAACGATAGTATTGTTCCCCCGCCTACCTCCAAGTCAATTTTCAAAAGTTAAGATATTCGAATGATTTTGAATATTTATATTGATATTTATATGGATTTTCATAAAACATTACTTCTTTGGGAAAACAACGAGAGATAACTCTAAAATTTTGGTAAAACTCGTGTTTTTCACTATAGAAATCAACGGAAAACGGAAAATATTTTTAAAACATCTTTCCCCCCCGTGAAACAAAAATTCCTTTTTACGGGTAATATGGACTGTCATTTCACAAATTCATACCAAAGCTTTTTGTGTTTCACGGGGGGGGTGGGGGGGGGAACATATGTTTATATACAAAAAACGACAAAAATGCTTATTTTTTCAGCAATTTCCAAGTGCTTTACAACTGAAACATTATATTTTACTAATATATATGCTTAATTTTATATGCATTAAACATAAGAAAAAGATTTAAGAAACATTTATTCATATTCAAGACTATTTCAGAATATGGTGATGTTTTATAGCCCGATTTCAGTGGAAAATATCGTCTACCCCCCTTATTTCAAGAGCTGGAATTAGGGATATTTTACTATGTGGCACTGGAATTAAAATAATTAATCAATTATCATTGAACTGTTCTTTGTATTAAACAAAGATTTTATGGCCAAATCGTCATCAATATTGAATTAAATGGTTGTAAAATGTAGGCGGGAGTCGGGAGTTACCGTGCGTAGTTCTTTACCATGAACAAATTTTGATTTTACATTCCAGTGAAATAGTAACATGAGTATTCATGGTAGTGCCTTTAATTTTTTCCAGGTATATTATTGTTATATATCTTATTTTGTATATCTAATATCAAAACATGGGTTACATTTCATTGTTTCAGCTTACTGAGGTTATAAATAAATAAAAAAAAAATCAACTTATTTTTCAAGAGATTTTTTTTGAGAGGAGGGGGTGTACGCCATGACTATTTTAATAAAACATGTTTTTTTTTAAATAAATTCCTTAAATCAAATTCAATTTTCTATTCTTTATTTGATACCTGAAAAAATAGTTGTGAATAACAAGCTTTTTAAAAATTATGAAATATTTCACAATGACTATAAAAATAAAATTAGAGATACTGTGAACAGGGAGCTTTAGAAAATGTTAACCCCCCCCCCCCCCTCTGCGCTCCAAAATGAGTATAATTGCAAAGTCTGTGCGATGAGGAAGACCCAAAACATAGCAGGAATTGCATGAAGACACCATGTAGTAAAGATTCTGTGAAAGTCTCTTTAAATTTTATTCAGCTTTATGAGAGGAGTATCGAATAAGGGATTGATATCCCCAATATTATAGAGAGAATGGCAGTCTCCATGTTTTGTAATGGGAAAGCTCAGATATATGTCCGATCAAAACATCTACTTTTATTTAGTGGTATTGGAGGAGTTGTGAGCAAGAGATAGGTACCTCTTACATTAAAGAAAGAATGGCAACGTCCATGATTTGCTATAAGAAAGTTCAAATATGTATCAGATCAGAAAGTGAAATAGGAGGCCACAATGACACTACGTAGTGAAGATTCTGTAAAAGTCTTATTTTTTTAATCAGTGGTATAGGAGGAATCGGATGGTGGATACAGCTAAGACGGACAAACGTGCAGAGAGATGGACAGACGGACACCCCTATCACTACACACCCCTCCGTTTCTAGCAGGGGGTATCTCAAGCAAATTTGGATGCAGTTTATGTTTGAAATCCTTTCAGCAAAAAATACTTTTCAAGAAAACTCCTTTAGAAAGCAACTTAGTTTCTATCATTCGGTTGTATACATGCTTAAGCAAACCTGTCTTGCTAATTGATAATATTGTCACATCGTAGGATATGTTCATCCATATTCAACATAAATGAATACTGCATTTTTATTACATTTTCAACAATGAAATTCTATAATTTATTTATTAAATAAAAATGAAATTTTGTCACAATGTAAAAAAAAAAATATCAAAGTGATACTTTGTCACACAGTCTGAAAGAATATCTGACGTGCGGCAAAACTTTTGATATTCCTTCCCTTCACGAAGAGTGTTGTAAAAATTACTTCATGATCTGCTAGAAGATAAAGAGAGTAAATAAACCAGAGATAAAACTGCCAAGGATTCCCCAGATATGTTTACATTACATGTATATGTTTTCAACCTCACAATCGCTGAGCTCTGACTTCTCAACCGCTTTATTATGACGTCATAGCCGATGACACTGTGTTATGAAAAGAAAGAGAAAGGGAAACCAAAGAAAATGTAATAAACAGCTGCAGAAAATTCAATATGTTATGTAGTTGTATGTGTAATTCATTTCATCCGTGATACAGGATTTTTGATATTTTCACTCGTGCTTCGCACGCATGAATGAATTGGCTGTGCAAATGCACGAGCTGAGCTTTTTTATCATTTATTTAAATGAATTAATTCAAATTCAAAGAGAATTATTCAATATATTTACAGTTAAGTATGCAATATCATCACCAGCCCTTGAACTGTTCAACATCACTTCATTCCAAGGACCCCCACCAAGTATTATGATTTCTTATTGAGGTTTTTATTGAGGCTTATTCTCAAAAAATTATATATCAATAATCAAAATTTTCTGTGTAGATAGACACATCTCACCCTAGCTGCCATTACCCCTCATAAGCATTGCCGTTGAGTGGATGACCAGACACCATTTTTGTTTACGATTGCGTGTTCGATATTGAACGCTCGCATTCAGAATGTTTCGGGACGTATTCGTATACATTGGCAGATTATTATTATAGACTATTTATTGGCTATTTAATAAATATAGGTTTTGTAAGCAGCGCTAGTTAGTAAAACTTGAGTTCCTTTTTTCATTTTCAAGAGACATGAGGTGGCTCTTGAAAATTAAAACGAACGAGGAAAGATAGTTTGATTTTCAAAAAAAGGCTACTAACAGTTAGGATTTAGGTCTCTAGTAATTAAATATACCTAGATGATCTGTCGAAATGAAATACTGTTAATCGATTTTTATTCGCTGGAACTTTATTTTTGCCTAATTACACGAGAAGGTATGCTCGCCAGAATTTCATTCTTGCGTGTACTTTTATTAGTATAGATTATATACAAGGAAACCGAATTGAAAATTTTGTCTCGCTAAAAGAATTAATGCATATTTAGCGAAAATAAGATGTAAAAATTTGATAATGTACAGTAGACTGGAGAAAAGTTCGAAGATTATAAAAATGAATGTAGATGTAAACAGACATAAACTTTACCTACATTTTATATCCCATTGTTTGTGTTTTGTATGAGTTATGAGTTTTTTATTCCCGAGCCTTGGCAACGAAGTGAATAAAAATGATATTCAAACACAAACCAAGGGAGATTCTTTATAGACAGATTATGCTCACTCCTCCATGGCACCTGATCCCACCTCTGATGTCTTAGAGGTCCGTGTTTGCTCTGCTCCTATTTTGTAATGTTTAATGGACATTTGAACTCGAATACTGTTCGTTAACTCCACATATTTCATTTATATCTATATATGTTTTAAATTGCTATCGCATTTTTTACATTGTTTATATATGAGTCTTTTTGACTTCAATACTCTCAGGCAAAAACCGTCGTTGCTTCACAACTTGATATGAAAACGACATTATGTAATATCATCTACTGTATAAAGTAGTAAACATGTGATAAACATTTTTCTTTATGCACATCACAGGAAACGTATGTTGTTAAAGAGTGTATTGATAAATGTCTCAAAGATTGTCATCTTTTTAATTATTTAACCATCGGGACGGCAAATTATACATAGCTTAAGAGTATATAGAAAAAAAAATTCTTAGATCATCATCTGTTTTAGTGATTTCATTCAGACAACACCTTTTAACTGTTACGTGTGCATTCTCAGTCTAAAATGAAAAATATTAGTCACCACTATATGACCCTGACATTATACAAAGATACAGAACTGATGGAGGTTGGTGTTAAATGAACACTACAAATCATGAGACTAGACAGGAAGTATGACGCGAAACTAAGTGTCACAAAATAAAATGGTATGTATTAGTCTCTGGCGGACATGTTTTTGGATTTTGATTGGTTAAATATGTTTTTAAAATAACACCGGAAGAAGTTTCATTTATGCAAAATAAAACGTAAACAAATCTTTTATTTATTGATTGCAATATTTAAAAACTGGAATTGGAGGAATAAATTTCCAATTTTTGGGTGACGTTGTTAACAAATAAAACCTATCATTGGAACATATTGTACCTGACGTATTTCATACTAATTATCAGGCTTTTGTTTTAACATAAAGTTTGACTACGGAATGTTCGTTTTACCTGATCAATACATAGGGCTCACGACAGGTGTGACCCTTCAACAGGAAATGCTTTCTCCTCCTAGGCACCTGATCCAACCTCTGGAAGTTCCAGGGGTTCGGGTTTTATGCCCTGTTTACAGAATTGTATTGCTTGTAATTTTTATTTCAAATCGATAATTGTTTGTTATCTTCACCTTTTTCTTTTCCGTTCTTCGTGTTTGTACCAATTAAAAACTAAAATAAATAAATAAATAAATAAATATTAAATAAAAATAAATATTTAGGGAAATGAAAAATGCATCATTTACAGTAAAATTAAGTTGAAAATTTATATCAATGCATTATATCATATCTTAGTCTCATTTGCTTTGAAGATATTTAAAAAAAAATATTGCAGGTTGTTCATAATTGAAAAAAAAACTTGCTGTGGCATTCAACTCGACATTTTGATATATCGACCACGTATTATCAATTTACAATAGTTACTTCCATTCATATGTCGACTCGATATATCCCAGTGAGCTTGAAATAAGAGATACCGCAGAGTCTGACACATCTGTTTCATGTTTGGATATTTTACAGAAAAAGACATTAATGGGAAGCGAACAAGAAAAAGCTTTATGATAGACGTGATGACTTCAATTTTCAATCGTCAACTTTCCTTACTGATGTAGCAATATACGAGGGTTGATCCAAAAAGTCGTAGATAGGGAAATCAATTTATTTTCTCTTTGCTAAATCAAATTTCTTTTCTAGTCATAGTAAAAGGCACCATTTTATGATTATGACGAATTGAAGTCGACAAAAATAGGAACCAACTGTTTCAAAGCCCCGGCATATTAATCAAAATGATCGTTGCAGGTTTTTAGGAGAGACCTTAAAAACCGAGGCCCCGTGTCACAGAAGGCGTAAATAGGCTTAAGAATGGCACTGAGTGCCAAATAAATGTCCAAATTTAAAGCGCTTCTCTGTTATCAAACTGCTGTATTATTCGAGTGACATAATCTTGTAAGGGACGTACAACAACAATAATCAATCAGTCATCTATCATATGAAATAGTTTATTGAAAAAAACATAACTTCTAGATATATTGACATTGCGTAGGTGTTATATAATAATTGACAATATATACTATAAAACACAATCGTCAAAATAATATCTTGAAAATCACATGAAAATAAACCTTTTGTAAGATGAAAACAGATGTCTTTAACACATAAAAAATCATTAGTTCTTTTATCACAACCAATATTTTTTTTAAACTATGAAGCTGTCATTCAATACATGTACATAAAAATCTATATATTTTAAAGAAAATATTTTTATAAGAAATCTAGTAAGTCTTCACTTCTTGACCTTTCTTGCTTTCACATAGGCGCTGTGGGAAAAAAATTTTCTTTAGCATTGGTGTCATTAAATCTTATTCATACTTTTTTTTCAAAGAAAATAATTCTAAAAATATAAGAAAAGAAACCGTTCATATTGGGTTTTCTATATCTAAAGTCATATATGGCGTATTTTCGATAAGTTCAGACTAACTAAAATCAAAAAGATCTTTCTATTTGTTTTATTACTTTATATAAAGATAGAACTTTTCTGTAAATTACACAATTTAAATCAATCGCGTTTCATAGATATCAGAGATTTAAAACAATAACCGATTTATTTACCGACTCCGCATTTAAATATCAGACAGTTTAAAGTCAATTTAAGTAGAGAAACGTGGGGATATTCAAGGTCAAAATCGGCGAAAATTTTAATTTGAACGTAAATAAAAAACATAATGTTGATCTACACTTAATCTCGTATCTTTATTTTTTAGCTCAGATACACCATATATAGCTTTAATTTCATCAGAACGCTACATTATTAAGGAAAATCAGCTTTATTTTAGGAGTAAAGCACTAACAAGGTATCTATAGAGGATTTTTCTTCATTTTGAGGCAATGATTCTTTGATTTTGACTTCAAATATTGAACGTATACATTTTTCCATCAACGATTTAAAAAGGACGGGATACTGATTTGAAAAGGCCACTAATATCTCAAATATATAGATCTTAAAATTGTGTAATGTTTATTTTGTTTTCATAAGATCAACTCCAAAATATGTTTAGAAATTTGCTTAATTATACTTAATGAAGAGATTTGTAGAACTTTTATTCAAATTTAAGCCTAGCTACAGATTTGTGATATAAGAATCTCCCATATCGTGTGATTGGATTTTTATCCCCTAGTAGGTTTGTTTTATTTCCTTTTATTTTCACAGTTTTAAGGTAGGTTTATAGCCATTTGTCTAACTAATAACATTTTGTGTGCTATATATCATGTCACATAGTTTTGTTTCAGATGTACAGTGATTCGTAACGACGAGTAATGGTTATAATTAGAAGGTAGACTAAAGATACCTTTTACCGTAATGATATATCTAGTGAAAAAAGCGGCAGTCATCAATTAAAAAGGAGCTGGCGATGTGACATTTGAAAACACCTAACTGGAAAATTGATTTTGAAGTATAGTATAAATATAATATTCTATTAATAAAATAAATGTTAATTTGATATAAGTAAACGATGTTTATGGAAAAAATAATACATTAAGGAGTTAAAATGATGCTGAAAACCGAGAAAAAAAAAAAACGTCGGTTTGATTTATTTCTATCAATAAATAACAATTTTACAAACCTTGACTTCATTCAGCTCCTGTATGATTTTACTGATCTACCAAAGAACATAAATTATATTCAAATTGACATCAGTAAGGAAATATCCTATGTCAAATACACATGTATAAGATTGTTTGTAATGGTTGTTGAATCAATTATAAATTCTTTTACATTTCCTCAGCTGAGTGAAGTATAACTGAGAATGATTGTATTGGTCGTGGAATAACGATACAAAGAATCATAGGTCATTTGCAGGAGCCATTTCATGTATTTAGAGAATAGGAAGAATTTATCATTAACAGTACTGCTCTTTTCTGTAATCGTAAAATGTTTTCGAAAGCAATTGCATTTATAATAGTTTATATCTAATAAATGAATAGAGAGAAATCCTTTGCATTTAGACATTGATAATGTAAATCATCATTCTGGTGTTATTGGTTAATTCAGTCATCAGATAAAGTCATGAAAAAACTGTTGTTGTTATTTTTTTAATCGCAGACATTTTAACCGATGTTCATAGTTTGAGTGTATTCCATAGTAAATATCTTTAATAATCAATATTACAGAAACATGAGTTTATCCGATGAATTTATCATTTGTGGAATACTATTTACAATTCATACATGTAAAAATATTATCATTGGCATGAAAATATAGGAAACAGGTACTTTTTTGAGGCTGGTGGAAAAAAAATCACTGGATCATTTTTTTTATTGTTGTTCTCAGAACACGTTAAAGGATGATTCGCCTTTAAATTTCAAATTTTGGAAGAGTCCCATGAATTATTTTATATCTTCCATGTAACCTTAATATTTTCAATATGTAATCATGTTTGTCCTACCAAGACAAATCTTCCATTTTTATGCCAGGAATATAAGTACCAAGGTACATGTACCAATAGTTTTTGCTCAAAGCACGAAAATTTGTCCCAAGGAAAATATAAAATTTACAGTAATACAAATTGCCTTACCTTTTTGTCAACCTCTTCTCCTGGAGACTTTTGAAAAGAAAAACACTTCGTATAAATCAAAATACATCTTTGATTCATCTAGAAAATGCATCAAACTATTTTGGGGTAGGAGATGGACACTTTTCAATGACAATTTCCTCTCCCGATAAACTTGTTGTAATTTCGCCACATTTACTAATATAATTTATAACATCTACAGACAACAGTAATTGTGTTTTGTAAAACTTTTTGTTTGCGTTTTTTGTCTAATATATATATGTATTGGATACCAGTATATATACCAGTTATATACAAGTGAGATATCCCCCTTTGAAATTTTCCCTAACCGAAAAAGCTGATCGACAGGGACCACGTGTGACCAAGTGCTATACAGTGACAATGTGTTTACCGTTGAGTTATAAATAGAAATCATGTCTACTGTGATACATATTTCAATAAAAGCTAACTAGGATACAATTCTCTCGACACTAGCACATTCTTGTAACGATAGCAGTATTTCAGGTAAAAGTTATTACCACAGAGTTCGAAGCGTTTTCTTGGCATGCATGCATGTATATCTAAACAGCTAAATTTATTGTACATGAATGCATAATATATGCAAATACCGTGCATCATGCATATCAGTCTAACAGTATATACAGTGCAATGGAAAAGCAACATTGGGTAGCCCTTTCCTGTTTATTATTCTTATATTAATCTGCATAAAAACATGCACATGCCATTTTTACTTTCTCTACATTGCAGCAAAAATATTCAAAATTTATTTACTTCCAAGTACACTGCAGTTCTAGTTTTGGAATGATTTTTACATTTAAAACATGTATTTTCTCAGTTCATTGTATGTCCCAAAACTATGCTATCGGAGATGTATACATGTCGACAGCCAGGAAAAACACTCAAGTGTAACAAATGCATCGGGGTTTATATAGCGGGTACAGGTTCCTAAATAAATATGGCGGAATCAAAGAAATATGGCGGAAAGGGGCGTACATGAATGAAATAAGTCGTAAAAGGATGAAAAATAATGCCTATTTAAGAGTTCATGTCAGCTTTAAGATGATTCACAATCCTGGGGCCAGGTATTCTAATATATACCTTGCTGTACATTTTATCAGCATCTTTTTCTTCTGTCATGTTTTGTTCTGACATGATCTTTTGCTAAAAGAATAGAAAAAGAATGTATTTGTACAGAGTGAAACTTAGAACAAAATAAATAAAAATGTGTTTCTGTTATTGATAAAACTAACTGCATTGTTCATGCATGTAAATACGTAGGATGCATAAATGTTATTTTTCTAATTGTATACTAAATCAAGCCTTTATTGATGAACATGTATTTTTGTAATATATCAGATAGCTATGACAGTATTTCATTCTGTTTCAGTATAAAACATTTTATTTTTCATACCTCTATTGAGTAGTCTTCGAAAACGTTACTTTCTCTTTCTCTGGAATGAATTGAAACGATTTTGTGAGAAACGTTTGATTCCCTGCAACTGCAACAAATTCTTTAAAGTTTTAAGGTATTCAATGTATAACGACCATATTTTGTACCTAATAAATGAATGGTCAGATATATTTAATCATGGTAGCATTTTGAAGGTGTTATCATATAAAAATACTCCAAAAGAATTTAGAATATTTTAATTATTGTCCAATTAATTGCATCTGGAATTTTACATTAAATTCTATGGGAAGCGCATGTGTTATTAAGATATTGTAAATAGTAATTTGAACTTTGAACACATCTCTTGGTGAAAATATGCATGAACTCTCTCTCTTTATTAAAATACATGTATGAAATAAAATGAATCATTTACAACAGTTATTTTGACAAAATTAAAATTTTCTTCATTTCATCAAGGGCAGATAACTAAACAAAAACATTTAAGGTGCAAAATGGCCGGCCTTCTTATATGTTAACAGTCATGTGAATTTGGTTAATTTCACTTTCACCGTTATCTAGCAATCCATATTTAACTAGTTTAAAATGATTCAATATTGTTCAATATCCCTTCGTTATACATTGAATACCTTAAATATTGACTTTTTTTTTACTTTTGAATTAATTTTACATTTGTTTTGTTTTCGTGTACTTTCATGTGTTAATTTTTTTCCATTGTAAAAGCATGTTTGCAGAAATGCATAGATATTTCAATAGCTATTGATGAACAAAATACCCTTGCATTTCTAGCATTCCGTTCTTTTCTGCCATTTCCTCGGGAGTTTCTTGCTCGGGATCGACATCAAAATTATCATCGAACACGAGAACTACATGTACAAATAAAGTAAAATGATGGAAAGTTAAACTCTTGATTGAAAATCAGTGGTTAAAAAAACACCAAGCAAAAAATTTAAAAAAATAATAAATAAAATTAAAAAAAAATAATGATAAAAAATAAAAAGCAAACAAACAATAAGAACCAAAAAACACAAAATAAAGTTTAAAAAAAGTCAAAATTTAAGAGGGCTGGGGGGGGATTGTGGCCATTTTAAGACTATATTGATCTCCTTTAGAAGAAGAGCTCCATATAAAGATATACAAAAATGATCAAATTTAAAACTAAAATGTATGAGATTTTTCTTTGCCACATGATAGTTGACAGCTTAAGATATCATATCTAAAAATTTAAGTTATATTTGATGGTTAATTTGTTGACCCCCCAGCCTCCTTAAGTCAGTAATCATTCTGAATTTAGTAAGTCAAATATATTACTTACACTTTAGTTAAATGACATACAAATAAGAAAAAAATGTACATTTAATTAGTAATTCCTAAGAATTTATGATTGGAAGTAAATGTAGTACAATGTACATGATAAGCCACGGATTCACTTTGAAAGACATGTTCAAAATACAGGATTTAGGATGTTTTTTTTTTTTTTTTGCTGATTGCTGAAACAAACATCTGCAATAATAATAATAAAAGGGTTTTAAACTGTTCTAATGTTATACACGTGTTTTGCTTGAAATGCATCAATTTTGATGAATGGAGAGCAAGTAAAATAATTTCAGTTTCAAACACACAATTGTATACCTTTTATAAATCGTGCTTGTTCCTCACGTTGTTTACCATAAATCTTAGTGACCAGATATATCAGAAAATGAAAAACAAGTGCCCCTAAGCAACATATCTTGAAATGAACAGGAAATATTGTTCTGATTGTGTACTCTTCAAGAAAATTTGACTGTAATTGTGACCAGTATATTCGGGATTTGTCGTGTACAGAATCTGCCGTTTTCCTGAAAATATAAGTAAATGATTGTTTATATATTCTGGTGTGTATATGAAAACAAATCAAACAGAAGTTTCCACAATGACATTTTAACTTGAAGTTTAATAAGTAGCTACATACGTGTAAATTGCTATTAGCATGTTCAATAGCATCAAAATAGCTATTAGACAGTATATGGCCCTCAGATAAGGAGACAATAGAGCTCCTAGATAGGATGGACATCTTTGTTGTACCCCCTGCGAATATAATGTGGCGTTGTCTGTGCAGTCATTACCTAAAAATAAACATGCCTGATTCACACTGTTATTCCGCTGACTGTCGACGAATATTGATACATTATTGTATAGAATAACAAACAACTACAGATCTCTAAAAAAAATTAAACAATGCACATTGTGAACAGGGTAAAAAATAAAACAAATCAAAGGACAGAGCAAAGGGAATGCCTAGAATAAGTAAGCATACCCATTCGACCAGTAACGTTTTGGACCTTCTGTATTGGTCAGATAAACGAAGTGATCGGTAGACTATTATGTATGAAAGTAATGACCTATCAATTAATGTATGGAAGAAGCCAGTCAACACTCGACCTTAGTCGAATTAAATAGAACGAACTGAGAGCAGAATAGACAAGAACTTCTGAAAGCATCAAGGATAGGATCGGATTCTAAGGAGCAACGGTCCACTGTCGACTGATCACGCCTGCCATGAGCCCTTTGTCTTGATCGGGTAAACGGGGAAATTCATAGACTATTCAGTATGAAAATAATGGCCTAACCATTTGTATGAAAAACGCCAGTCAACACTTCACAAAACGTAAGGTTGTCATTGCATTAAAGGTCATTGTATTGATCATAGAATTTGAAAACCATTGACTTAAAGGGAGATTATTTATCTTCCTGTACCATCAACGTGTTTGGCAATAGCTTACCTAAGTTTAATAACAATTTGTTCTTGCTTTGGGAATCATCTCAGAGACATAAAGACCATATGCAAGTGATAAAGATATATTGCAAATAAAAATAAATAAATTTGACAAAGGAAAATTAAAAGTCATCATGTTTATTATGGAAGTAGTTATTAGTTTGTTATCAGCCTCTTTCTTTAGTAAAACATCTTAAGAACATGTAAGAAAAATACGTTTTAACAACTATCCTTTTCATGTTAAAGCATACCAGCATCTTCCTGGAAGTCACCGTAAAGGGTCCAATAACCATTTCGGACAATATTTTCTATTTCCGTCCATGTGAACTCTGTGTTTGGATACAGGAGGGCATAATCCACCACATTGTAGCACATCATTATAACAATCATTATAGCCATGAAGGCAGATGTTATCTTTATCTGATAGAAAAATGTAGAAAAAAACCAAATGAAAGAACATAAAAAATATTGATTTATGAAGATTTAATTCTGTGATTGGTAGACAGACATTATAAAAAGTTTGAAATTTAATCATTTCGTGGTTTGAGATGAATTTTGGGGTATTTTTGTAACAAGAAAACGGCAACAAATAATCACCCAGAAAAATTATTGGTTTCACAGTAATGACGAATTCCAAAATGAGTAAAATACATTCTGAAAACAGGTATTTAATTGAAAAATTCCTGTGTAGAGAGCAGTACTCGAAAGCTTCTATCATCGTTACTTACTTCTAATTAGCAGTGCTATGTCCAATTATTCACCTTTGTCTAATGACTAGTGCATCAAATACATATTAGTTACCCCCTTTGCTTCAAATTTATGCATGCGCGCTGTCTGCATCTTCCTTTTGAAGCCTCCATAATAACGTAAGATTAGTGTATGTTAAACCCATTCTATCCTACCACTATATCTAATTGCTAGTTTTGCCCCGAACTAGGAATTTTTACTTTCAGAGATTTGTGTCTACCATTCCTTCAAGATAAATTAAGATATATCATTGGAATTCATGAACTAAAGAAATAACATTCTTATACGGTTGTGTGGCATTGTGACATTTTGAAATTGCTTATGAGCGGAACGGCCGAAATTATGATGAAATATAACAATTTTCAAGTCCTTGACCTCTGAACCTCCTATTGGCAAGGTCATAAGTTGCTTGAACACTGCACCTCCCGGAAGCTAGCTTTCTTTAATATCATTGTGAACTTTGAGCAGTGAATATGGAAAAATCTGTAATTGGTTAGTCGGAAAAAAAAATTAAAAAAAAATGTGTAAATTTCCATAACATTTCATTCACAATTTAAAAATAATCCCCTGAATGTTGTTACGTTATAACATTTTCAAATATTGATCTCAGCTGATTTTGAGGTACATGTAATTCATTAAAGTTCTCCGGGTTGGGCTCAATGGGGGCAATTTGACAATATTAAGTATAAATTGCTGTTTAAACACCAAGTATTTACCAGCCTGTCTTTATTTTTTATTTAATTATTTTTTTTCTTTTGAAATTGACATAATATATATAATGCCGCATATAATATATATAATACCGCATACACAGATTATTTCAAACCCCTTTTTTTCAAGATTTCTTGTGTATTTTTATAGAGTTTACTTTTAAAAAAAAAGGTCAGGAAATTATGTATTTTGATACGATTAACCAGTTCATCGGTCGGAACGTCTTGCGGTAAACCGATTAGCAATTCTTTATTTGCTCTGCTCCTATTTTGTATTGATTAATGGATTTTTGAGCTTGAATACTGTTCGTTATCTCCATATATTTCATTGATTGCCATCTCTACTTCTGAGATAAATCGTATTAATGCAAATTATAAGCTCAAATGTACAATCCAATTAATGTACACATTCATACCTATATCGCATTGAATTACATAACATTGCGCTAATCAAAACATCGAAAAATCAAATCTGATTTGTCATTTACTAAGTATACACAAAAGTGCATGAAAGTTGATTATGAAAGTTTAACCTACTAAATATTGAGTTATTTTAACATCCTTTATATTCATTACATTTTATTTAACAATGCACACAGATGAATTTTCTGCTATAAGTGATATAAATCAATACGTACTTTTTTCTGAATTATAACAAGCTGAGAACCGAGGAACTCTGACGTCCAAAACATGTTTAGAACCCGTATGTTGAGCATGATATATGAGACCAGAAACATAATCTTTGCAAACCCTTGCAGAAAATCATCCTCAAACAATAACTTTACAATAAATCCAAGAAACGATGTTAATATTATCAATAAGTCGAGGCGATTCCACATGTCCTGGCCGTATTCCGTTAAGAAACTTTTTTCTCTCTTTCTTTTACTGTCACGGTAAACAGCTATACATATCTGAAAATACGTATTGTTACATTTAGTACTGTTTGGAATGAGCCTGCAAATTAATGATTGCGATAAAAATGACAAATTTTTAACAGATTTATCAGGTGATAGTTCATTTTGACATATCTATGTAGTTTTTTTTTAATTTACTTTGCAAAGTGATTATCCCTTCGGGCTAATGAATTCAAAGGTATTGTCACATGTCCACGGTGTTTTGTACAGTGAACCGGAAAGCTCATTCGGTCATTATTTCACTCAACAAACAATAATTTTCATTGATAAAATATTTTCATGACTTTTTAGTTTGATTTTTATTAAGGTTCATTGATACTCTGATAAGAGAGATAACACTTAAAGGTGCTAAGACACAGATTTGAACTTAATATTTTCTCAAATTTTCTGTATAATATCACGACGTATATATTGCAATAGCATTTCACACGAAAATATATTTAAAAACTTATTTTAACTAGAAATTATTGGAACTACGAATTCCGGAACGCGTTTGATTAACACATCTTTGCACTTACACAAATTTTAACTTTTTCCTTAATATTCAAGAAAAGCAAGCGATTTTGTTATGTATTAATGAAAAAAATTACATCTATAAGCCAGATAAATCAGAGTAGAAATGTTCGAAAGCAAAACCAACTCACCAGTTTTGTCAGTCCGTGCTCTGTGATGTGTACAGAGTTTAACAATTTGAAAACACCAGTGAAACGTAAACTGTTTTTGTAAACAGGGCACGAGCTCCGTTATTGTTAATGTTTACGATTCACCGGGCGTGTTCAATTGTTAAACACTGTACAGACCACTGAGCACGGACCTACAACACTGTGAGTGGGTTTTGCTTTAAAACATTTCTAATCTGAATTTTCTGGGCTATAGTTTTGATATATTTCATAACTACACAACAAAATTGCCACTTTTCTTAAGTATTAAGAATAAAATTAAAATATGTGAAAGCGCAAGGATGTGTCAATCCAACGCGTCCAGAAATTCGAAGTTTTAATAAGATTTTTATTATATTTTAGTACGAAATGCTATAGCAACATATAAGTCATGAAATTATACAGAAAATTTGAGAAAATATTAACTTCAAATCTGTGTCCAAGCACCTTTAATGTCATAAATGTCTATAATTCCTTTATAATTTTTTCAAGCTTAAATGTCATTTTTGTCCAATTTTGCCCCGCAAGCTATTATGCTATGTTATAATTGTTTTTATTTAACTAATAAAATATATTCAGCATAGCTTGTATGCTATACTTTTTTTCTATTTATATAATACATTTCTTTTTGAAAATAATAAGAGATTAAGCAACATTTTAAATGAGTTAACAGAGGGTTATGAATTTGAAGTTCAAATATGTGATACGTTTTATATCTTGCTCTTCTTTAGTTCTTTGGTCTTATATTTCAAATTTACATAAACAATACAGCGTAAATAAAACTATACATACCTGCTGAAATTCATCCACAAACTTATTAACAATCCAAAACAGCACAGCAAATTCGGATTGAGATACACCATTTTCCTTGTAGTCAAACAAAAGCATATAAGCAAATGCTGCTAGAAATGACAATAGTCCAACCTAAATTAAAAAAAAAATATTTATATTAATAAGTTAAAAAAAACAACATTATTTTAAAGTATATTTTAATTTTTCTGATAAAAAAAGTTCGTACCGTGTTAACCCATAGTTTCAAAATCGGCGTATGATATTTTTTGTAAATCCTGAAATTAAATATATAAAACAATAATTGCACATATAATCATCATTTATAACAGCTGTTTTTAATATAAGCAGAGATGTACTCATGAAAACTGTTTATATTTTATTTTACATTGAATTAAAACATATTTCAACAACGATCGGGATACAATTATGTTTATTACGTTATCAAATCCTAGCATTGTTACAACATACACATTGTCAGATCAGTTACAAATAGGAGTTGGAATATCTGTTTTCAAAACACATCAAGTCATATTAACTATAGTGATGTCAACACAATTGTTTTATAGGGAGGATTATTTGTTTTTCTTGATACATGAAGTCAATATCATTTTTCAGAATCTTAAATAGAATCACAAGCCAATCCTTGTTATATAGTTGATCAAGTTTGAGCCAACCAGATTGCTAGAATTAAAAGAATAAATAATAGCATATAATAAACGATTGCCTTTTACAAAAATTGTTATAGCCTCATGTTTGAGAGCCCGATTTGTAACTTTTCAAATAAAGGAGTTTCCCTAAACTACCTTTATTATATGTGAAATTCATTGGTCCATGGAATATGACCTTAAAAATCTTAGATCTCGTGTCAAAGTAGGTATTGACATGATAAGAAAATATTAAAATGCATGTGTCGAATATGTGAGATTTAAATTGAAAGTTAAATATAAAAAATAGATTAAGTAGTTCATATGTACCATGAGGGCTTATCCAAAGTAAAGAGCATGAAGGGCATGATAAAAACATGCATGATGCACAAGAACAGTCTGAGAATCTGTAAAAAGAAAAGAAAATTAATGAATTAACTCTGAAATTAAGCGTTAAAAATTTTATTTTGCAATTTTCAAGAAATTCTTTTTTCTCTAAAAATGATTTTTAATGTTTGTCCCCCATATTAGCATACTGTGAAATCATTAGTTATCGTGGAGATTTAAATGTTTGGTTGTGAGGAGACACACGAGTTCATGTCCACCAGGAAACATACATGACAAATCAACACTTCTACAACCAAGAAATCTATTCCCAAAGAATAAATATTCTTCCCTGCACCTCATTATCCACTATAAGTACAGAAAAAAAAATCATTTTAGCACAAATGACCTATCATTGAGTCAAATGCTGACTGACGTTTTTCATACTAATTGTTATGCCATTATTTATACACAGAAATGTAAACGGATTTTTCTGGGTTTTTTTTTCGATCATGAAAAGGAGCACACGGCAGGGAATGCTCACTCCTCCATAACACCTGATCCCACCTCTAAATATTGAGGTCCGTGTTTGCTCTGCTCCAAATTTGTATCGTTTCATTAGACTTTCGAGAATGAATACTGTTCGTTATCTTCATATTTCATTAGTAGAGAATCATTCTTCTAAGAAATGCTAGTACATACTGTGTCTATTTTCCTTCTTGTCTGATATTCCTCCCCATACCAGAGCTCTTTAATCATAGTTTTCAGCTTGGGATTTTCCAGAAAACATTCATTCTTTGTTTTATATGCAACATCCAAATAACCATGATTCAGTAGTAGTCTCCCAGCCTTGTTAGACACCTCATCCTCTTTGATGAAGAAATGTTTTATATTGTTTATCCACCCGGTGGGACTTTTTAGCCTTTCCAGTTCGTCCTTCTCTTGGATGTAATTCATGATGCTAAAAGCGTGTTGACTGAATTTTCTGAAAGAATGACTCTGGTTTTTAATGAGACTTTTAAATGAATAATACCTTTCCAATATTCCACTACGTCCCAAACTTGGACTTGAAACTGCACCAAGTGGACATTAATTAGACGATTTTGGTATGGAATAATTTTTCATTTTAATCATGCAGCAAAAGCTTACTTGGTGTCAATAGAAAACGGCAAGAAAGTGATTTATGAATATGGAAGTTTTTTCTTCAAAGTACCAACCGAAGGCCCAAATTTTACACAAAGAGGGAAGACTTTTCACATTTTTGGTGAACATCTAACGGCTCAATATATTCTTGTTAACATTGTTCCTGCTAGTTGTTTACATGGAAAAAAAAGAGATTCAGATTCGAGGAAAAAAAATTCCGTTGTCTAATTGTCTAATGGACTACATCTTGCAACCAATATCAGTAAATATGTAATTTATTATGAAATACCTGCTTATTGAACATTTGCAAAAACTTACTCTGTTAAATTTCCAAATATATAGAGAAAGCTTTTTGTTTGTTATTTACCCATACAACCAATCAATATACTTAAAAAAATATTAACAATTCTAATTAATTTCTGTAGCTTTGCCCCCATCCTTCATACTGTAGGATTGATTCGGAGATTTCAATATTTTTGCTCTGCTTCATCCATAAACACATAAAACCGAAATTTATAGATAGTTTAGCACTTTGAAGAAAGCTGCAAATGTTTAGAAGTTACAAAAATTGAAACAATAATAAAGTACTTTATCGCATACATTGCCAAATCTTCAAAATCCTTTTTTTCAGTCTCCGAAGTTCTCCATTCCTCTGTGTGATTGGTTAATATCTTACATCCAATCAAAATTGATCTTACACCAACCTGTTTATCAATAAATTATTTATAATAGTAAATATGGTTATAATGTACATGTGATAGATGATAAGTAATTATCATTAATTGATAAAATAGTTAAGTGATGAGACCAGGTATAGGGTTGTGCATTGTTGTGTTTCTTTTTTGAGTGTCTAAATGATAAACTGCACTAGTATGATGATGTTTAGATTACTGATGCCTTGCTTAACACCTTTGAGAGATAGTTGCAGGTCTTTTAGATGAGACCTTAAAAACCGAGACCCCGTGTCACAACAGGCGTTGGTACAATAAAGAACCCCCACTGCTCAATGGTCCTGAGTGCCGGGTAAGAGTCTAAATTTAAAGCTCTTCACTGGTATATGGTGATGTCATTATATGAGTGAAAAATTTTCGAAAGGGACTTCGTAAACAACATACAATCAATCAAACTGGACTTTGGTTTTCAATAACAAAATTCATAATAAATCTAAAATTAACAAAAAATACAGTTTTATCAAGTTAAGATTGCAAAATCCCGGAACTCCATTGTTATTACAATTCCAAGGTATAGAAATTAATTCAATATCTATATGTTCGCTTCGTGATCGAAAGGTCGTGTGTTTAAATCACTGCCGCGACTGATGGAAGTCGATAAAAAATAGGTAGCAACTGTTTCTTCGCCAAACGCTCGGCACTTTGAAGTGAAAGTAGCGTGTCCTTCGGATGAGACCTTAAAAACCGAGGCCCCGTGTCACGGTTGGCGTTGGCAAGGTAAAGAACCCTCACTGCCCAATGGCCCTGAGTGCCGAGTAAAGGTCTATATTTGAAACCCTTCACCTGTATATGGTGCTGTCTCTATATGAGTAAAAAATTCTCAAAGGGAACGTAAACCAAAACTATACGTAGCACAACCCCTGACATATACTGTGTGAAATTTGAAGACCACTACATTTGTGCTTTTTACCTAGTTTGACTATTCCATTTTGTTGATAAACAAACAAATAGATGGACTGCTTCCTGACTTTAAATAATTTCCTGACGTGAAATTATACATAGAATATATAGATATGGGTTGTGACCATTGTTGAAATGAAAAAAAAAAGATGTGAAGGTATTGTACGGTATATTTTCTATTACCTGAAATGTGCTTTTCCTGACATGGACTCACAGAACAGAAATTAGAGTTATAAGTATAAAAGATCAAATGTCTGTTTAATTATGCTAGGAAATGATTAATCTTTCCGTATAATTCTTTTTTTTAAACCGAACCTGAAACAAAATACTTACACATCCCTTTTCTATAAGTTGTGCACCTCCAGCTAACTTTTTCTTTTTTAAAAGGGCAAAGAACACCAGATCAACCCCCGCACAATCTTTTTTGAGTATCAATTGAGCATCTACAAAAAAGTAATTGGACAGATTCCACTGGAAAGTATCAACGGTGAAACTCGTTTAAAGAGAACATATATATATTTTTTTAAGGTAAAAAACATAGATTAAACATTTTGCCACACAATACTAGGGAATTAAAAAAAATTATCGTGACACAGCGATAATTCAAGCTAGCGCTTCACTCCTAATGTCTGTGTTTTTTGAAAAATCTACAAACAATAGATTTGTAAACAGGGCATAAAAGACTGTCCCCGGACATTCTAGAGATGGAATCAGGTGCCTAGGAAGAGTAAGTTTCCCCTATTGACCATCACATTCGCCTTTATACCTAAGTATTGATCAGGTAGACGGAAAAGTCCATAGTAAAATTAAGTGTAAAAACAAAAACCTAGCAATTGCTATGAATCATGTCAGCCAAATTACTGAATGTGTATATGATTTTCATTATCTACTTTTTTGTTATTTTTATAGTTTATGTATCTAATACTACCCTCTGTTTGTTTGGGTGGACGGTATGCTGATTTTGTTGTTGTCTTTATATCTTCCCAAAGACCGGATTTGAATTCATCCTTCATATTCTGTTCCACAGAAAGAAATAAGTAATGAAATATTCAGATGCTATATCATTGTAGAATAAAATATATCAAGCACGATTACACTATAAAACTTCTTAGCATCTAGAAATTAACATGAATTATAAACATATACATAATCATAAATTAATCAATATCAAACATCAGTTTCCAAGTTAGCAGAACCATATTCGGTCTACTGAGATTTAAAAAAAAATACACAAATACTGTATATAGTGATTTGAAAAAAGGCCTACCTTTTCATAAATATATTCTATTGATTTCTGAGCGAATATATCATCCAGAGTCTTGAGCGTACTGATATATTCCCCTGGAAACATCCACTGACCCTCCTTTAATAACTGACAGGATAAGCATCTAACATAGAGCAGCATCTCTCCTCTCTGTAGATAAGTGTTATTTTTCAAAAGAAAAGGTAAATGTTTTAGGGAATTGGAAATATCTACGACACAAACTAAATGGTAATACATTATAATACGTTATAATTATTGTTTGTTTGCTGTTTATTGTTTTCTGAATCTGTCTATTCATAGTAATTTCGAAGAAATGTTTTCTTTGATTCGTTTGGAGATCGTCTTTCAACAATCTGTCGGAATTCCCATGGGTAATATTTGCGTCCCGTCATTAGCAGATCTATTTGTGTATTAATATGAAGCAGAATATCGTCAAAAACTTCTAATGAAAGAAAAAGTCTCTTGCTGTGGCCTTCAGTTCATCATTTAGAGATATTGACGACGTTTTATCAATTCACAATGTTTATTTTCATTCTTACGTTTCTTGAATATATCCCTTTGAGCCCAAAATAAAAGATACCAGAGAATCTGACACATCTTTTGCTAATTTGGATATTTTACTAGAAAAAGACGTTATTGGTAATCTAACACCAAACCTTTATTATATTCGTGATGGCTTCAACTTTTCTATCGTCAACTTCTCTTATTTATGTAGCAATATACCCTTATCACCGCATATGGAGTTTGTCTCCAAGTTGATTCGATACGCAAGAGCATGTTCTACGTACGAACAATTTCTAAAACGAGGCAATCTATTGACTAATAAGTTGATGAAACATGAATATTAACAGTCTCTTTTAATGTCAACATTTCGTAAATTCAACGGTCGATACAAAGACCTTGTCTACAAATACAATTTATTATAAAGTCAAATGTTGACTGACGTTTTTCATACAAACTGTTAGGCCATCATTTTCACACTGAATTGTCTACGGATTTTCCCGTTCAACCCGATCATGACAAGGAACACGCAGCGGGTGTGACCGGTCGGCATGGGATGCTTACTCCTCCATGGCATCTGTCCCACCTCTGATGTTTTTTTAGAAGTCCGTGTTTGCCCTGCTCCAGATTTGTATTGTTTCAGATGACTTTTGAGATTGAATACCGTTCGTTATCTTCATATTTCACGTTCATATTGCAAATTATATATTAGCATAAAAATATATTGAATTATTACCATGATTAGAAGTTTAATACAGATATACATGGTGAAAAAACATATCTTAGTATATCAGAAATTACTTGCCGGAACAGTTTGTGATCTTCTACGTAGGCACTTTAATTTGTGAATCACAACTGTTAGAAAAAAGGTTGAAAGATCAAAACAATGAATGAACGTAATCAGAATTAAGATAAACAGTTCGTTCATTACTAAATAAATAATGTTACGTTCAGCTTTAGAAATTCTGTATAATTGTAATTCATCTCACAACATACTCCTCCATGGCACCTGATCCCACCTCTGATGTCTCAGAGGTCCGTGTTTGTCTACTCCTATTTTGTAATGTTAAATGCACTTTTTAGCTCGAATACTGATCGTTATCTCCACATATTTCAAAGAAGTTCAAATAAATTTAGAGTTTCGTGTTCGTGTATTTCATCGTAAAATATTGACGTTCTGAATTTTGTGTGCATTTGTTTTATCCCCAACAAGTATTGATTTCTTTGTACTTGTCTACCATTGTCCCACCAACAAGTATTAGATTCTTTGTACATGTATACTGAAAGGAACATGAAAGGCAGGGTAACACAATATGGAAAAAGTCTTAAACTGCATGGCCGAAATTTACGAAACTTGTTCAAAGGAGTATCTTGCTAAATATGCACGCAAATCGATGTTCAGAATTACTCAACCGTGAAATGTATGACGTCAGGTAGGGAAAATGGTAAAAAGCCAAAAACACGTGCATATTGATGATGGCAGGTTTGTCAACACATCTTGTAATACCACTTGATGCACTGAACTGAAGATATAAACATCTTTTTTCTATATTTAAAGACAATTTAAATATTTTATAATCACAGTATGGCTGACAGAAGTTCCATGGGGATTGACTATTGCATTGCCTAAGTAAAGAAAAAGGAAAGAACAGGTTTCTGTGCTGTTTGTTGTGAATTTTTAACTATAGAACGTCTAATTCGTCGTCAGAGAGGGACTTGAAATGTTTTCAATCAACGATGACGATAACATTGGCGCTTAACAACGCCACGTTAAGATTGGGCTATTCATCCTGCCATCTGTGTAATCGCCACTTAGGACCACTGAAATACAGTGGCAATCATAATCATTACATCCACTTAAAACCTGAAAGAAATCCACTGCGCGATTTTGGCTTGTGAGCTCGTCAACTTTGCGCCAGTGTTCCTCTCACTCGCGCACGTGTGCGCATTATGCCTAATTTTGCAGCTTGTAAACCCACGGCCCAATGTAGCCAGAGTTTGTCAAGATTTTCTCGCAAACATTCACATTAACCCACTCGATTGGTGTTCGTATAATACATCTTTTTTTTCTCCAGTCGAACATCTGTGGAACTAACTGGATGCTACAGTTTAAGAGCGTCGGAATATCCAAGCTACTCTCGAGAAACTTAGCGCTGCCTTGTCGAAAGCGTTGAATAATATCCCTTCGAGAAAGACAAATGCACTTATAATGAACTCCATGCAGAAGAGAATTAACTGTGACAAATGTGCGAGGAAGGAATAGGAGATAATGAGAATTTTCGATTTTTACTTTGGGGGAGGGGGGTACCGTCATTTGAGTTTCAATAATTCATGAATTATTCAGGAATAATCGGTCAAAATCAAATGAGATTTTGCTTACTTTTTGATAAAAGATGAGTTTGAATGTTAGGTAACAATACTGGAAAATATGTTCGAAAATATCATATTAAATTACTTCAAAAATTTACCATGCGTTTCTTTTTACTTTCAGTATATATTCTAGTTCCATCTACAAGCATTGAGTTTACACTGTGTAAGTGTATTTTTGTCTTACTAACTATTATAATTGATTTTATCCTACCACCAACAATTGTTGAAGATACAAGGAGAACAAAGTCTTTATTGATTGCTTTGGAAAGCAAACATCGTTGGTCATCAATATCTGTTGTTAATGCTTGATCTTTTTGCCATTCTCGTACAATCCATGGTTTAGTCCGATCTACTTCATACTTATTTTCCTGTTTTACTTGCTTATCTTCTGAAGTGCTAGGTTGAGTCGTATTCACTTCAATTTCATTTGCCTCTGTTACATACAGATCTTCATCTGTTGTAGTATCACTGTTTGGACCGACTGATGCACAATTTTTACTACAGCACCCTCTGAGAAAGCAATAATCTACAAAGAAAATAGAAAATGAACACCTGAATTATTATGAAATGAAACTTCATTTTGGAAGATACTTATGAATAGATAAATGTTAGATTATAAAAACATACTATGACACTGTGGCTATATTTGAAAAACCGTCGAGATTTTTCAATAGGGCTGGTGCATTTTCTACTAGAGGTCAGAATGTTTTGCTTTGAATTCTAGAATGTTACTACATCATCTCTGACAGTAAGAAATTTTGCAATGAAAATGTTTTTTACAGTTTGTTCACATAATAAATTTCTTTAAAGCGAAATATAAAAGAGAGCCGGTCTGTTCAGAAGCATTTCAAACGTACATTATTATTATATTAGCTATATAACATTCATATTGTAAAGAAGGTTAACGAGAGAACCATACTTTAACACTTATACAAATCGTACTAGTGATATCATAGAATGTTCAATATTCTTACTTTTATCATTTTGAGAGTTGAACTCGCAAACGCTGCATGTTACTTACCAGTGTTTAGTTTTTCCGTACTTTTTGAATTTCCTTCTTTCTTTTTACTGTCTTTTTTAATACTAGATTCTGAGCTCCATGAAACGGATATATAATTAGAATCCTGAAAGAAGTTAGAGATTTAAAAAAAAAATGATAGAATTATCTATACAATTTATTTCAACGCTAAAAGAAATAATGAAAAACGATATGAATAAAATGTCAATGTTTACAAATATTAAAAAAATAAAATGTATTCACCTTGAATGATAAAATTGGTATTTCCTCCTCACGGACTTTATCTTTAATGGATTTGTCTAACTTTTCAGTTTCGTATGACGTCACAATCACGGGCATAACCTTTTCTCCAAAGAAACCTTTATAAAAAAAATTGGCGTAATCAGCAATAATCAGTGAAAAGACAATCCACTGATTTCGACAAAAATAAATCTTTTATTGCTGTTTTTCAACTGTGAAATTTGAGTCCTAAGAAATATGCATATCAGAAGTGACAATATATGATGCTTCATAACTGTAATGTCAAATGCGCTATGCAGTAGTAAAAGAAAAGCTAATATTCATTGTTTTGAAATCAGAATATTTCATACTTCATATCGCTTAAACACATACATTTATGACAATGATAATTTTTAAAAAAAATCCTTCGTAATTACTTGTTTTAAAATTTTGCTGATAAGAACATACTTTGCCTGCGACAAAAACGATATTGATAACTTCCTTTTTATCACAAATCATAGTCTCTTTCATTTCTGATGAAACCTTTACAGTGTATTAGTAAACAGATAAATTAAAAATAAATTAAAAATTCTTTGCCCTGTAAAATACCCCTTGGTTTACTAAAATATCTCTCTGCATATATTTTGAAGCTTGAAACAGGTATAGTTTATATAACATAATCGCGATCTAAGAATAATGAAATAATTTTTGTTTATTTCATCCCACAAATATTTAAAATCAGTATTGATATTTTAACATTTTCTTGTAGATAATTTTCGGTTGAAAATGTTAACTCAGTTTTCCTTTCAATTCTCTTTACCAAAACAAAGCTATGCAATAAAGGTTAGTTCTCTAGCAAATGTTTCCGGGATATTTCTGTATTGTGGCTTTCCACAGATCTCAATTTTTTAATAAACAGTGTATTCTTTTATCAAGGAGGATCAAATTCGAAATGCGCAAGATAAAATCATCCTTTACTCTTAAAACTAGAAAAAATAAACATATTTTATTGTTTTAGAAACATGGCAGATATCATTTTTTTTTATTTTTATTTGTAAACGATTACAAAGGTATTTTAAATTTTAAAGCTAAATTAAGGTAATGTCTCTTACGTTCGGCCATGTCAATAAAGTAACCAATGTTAAAGCAAGTTTTATTTCTTTGCAGGAGTCCCTTCTTCTTTTTCTTTCCTCGTCTATCAACATTTCCTTTTCTTTCATCATTGTTGTTTCTACTTTCTTCTTTCATAACTTTGAACATTCTAAAGCCGTTCTCCAGCAATTTCTAGAAGGAAGAAAAAAGTTACATGTATTTTTTTTCGAATGCGTTTTGGTTCTGAGAGAGAGAGAGAGAGAGAGAGGCTTACTGTAATTGTTTCCTTCCTTGTCTTTTCATGCACACCACAGCTTTGAATGTTTTCTTGACGATTGTGCCACAGTATAATCTTCTCATGAACAAAGTGACAGGATATTCTTGAGTGTCCTATTGTAATAAGATAAATATCTCAGAAGAAAACAAGCGTAATAAAAATTTTGTACAATGTATTTAATGTTCAAATATCTGTTGATATGGACAAATAATACTATAGTAAACTTAAGTTAAGTATTTTTTACTATAGCTAACTGTATTGAATCAAAGTTCAAACATCACCACTATAGTGTCAAACATTTTGTGATCACTTTTATAATTAGCAAATCAAAGATTTCAAAGTTATCACTATAGTAAATAAAAGTGTTAAAGTTATCAGTATATTTTTCTATGGTATTTTTGGTAGGTAGTATATACTGATTTTAATTTTATTTCAACCATATTTGATGCAAAAATAAAATTAAGTACTTAGAACACTCAAAACATCTTGAAATAGATCCTCCTTTTCGTCTACGAAGATAAAGTGCAGTGCTGGTCTGTAAGAGTTTTCCCAGTCCACTGACGCTCCTTTATGCCAGACATGAACTTGAATTTTTGAAAATTGTTCCTATCAAAATCAAAAAAGTGACTTGAATATACAAACAATGCACTAGAATCCGGATATACTTGAAAGTCAATACTTTAAACATCTTGGGATATTCGAATGAAGTTAAAGTAGATCACAATGGATAATGAACAGTGATCATGCTCAAAAGTCTTCTAAAACATTACAAATTGTAGACAAACAGAGACTTCTGAAAACAGAGGTTGGATCAGGTGCCTTGGAAAAGCATCCCCTGTCAACCGGTTACGATTGTGTATCAAAAACATTCGTAGACAAG